GAGATAGAGAGGCCACTCAGGAAATGCATATCGGAGAGGGGTGAAGGAATGTGTGAAGTCGAAACCTGTATGAGAATAGAGAAGATTACATGAAAATAAGTTGTCTTTGAGAGAAGGGGGATGGTGTGAACCTAGTTTCAGGATGCGTTTCGTTTCTCCTGAAAACTAGGTCCCCTTCTCTTAATGGCAGACTTATTATCATGTAGTCTTCTCTATTCTCATACAGGTTTCGACTTCACCCCTCTTCACTTTGCACCACCTGAGTGGTCTCTCTGCCTCTCCCTTCTCCCAGCTTTTGTTCTCCTGTGCTGTTTAATCTTTGCCGTCTGCCCTGTCTTTCTCACACCTGAAGAAGGCTCCACAGCCGAAACGTTGTGTTTCCCTTCTCTTCATTTCAGCGTGGAATAAACCCGTTCCCTTTTCCTTTGCAGCCTACGCCTGCCGACGTAGCTACCTACTTGAACTCCTGTCATTTCTGTTTGTTTAGAAACATTGAATATAGGATGTCCACGGAAGATAAAGGAGTATTCCTCGTGAAGTTTGTGAAGACCAGCGAAGAAAGATCAGAGCGTGCCGTGAAAGCCTTTGAGGTAAGGAGTTCCTTTGACTGCTGCCTGGACTGTTGTTTGACTTTGTGTCTGACAGCTGTGAATACACAATAGACTCAAGGTTCGAACAGACAAGCCAGGCTTTTCCAGAAGGTTTGGTTCTAATGACTTGTGCCCGCTAATATGATGTCAGCTTGACTGTGGTTGGGTAGCCTTAGGGTTAAAATAGAATGGCCAAGGTAATGGGATAGCAGTTTGCTTTTCAGGCAAAGGATTTGGAGTATAAAAGTAATTTATATACACACACCTGAAGAAGGTCCCATAGCTGAACTGTTGCTTCATTTCTTCTCTTTTCAGCATGGGATAAACTAAACGTGTTCCTAAGTAATTTATATGTCCCACTAATGGATTACTTATAGCATTGCTGTTTTTAATATGCGTAAATGACAACCAGCCACATGACCTAAATTTATATACTGCTTATTAGTCGTGGATCAACTGGAACCACTTCTAAATCTAAAGTGTTCTGAGATCCTTTTGGGATGGAGGAAATTGTAGTGGAATGGAATTTATTATTGTCAAAAGCTTATTAGTCTAATTTTAATTCAGTCTTACTGTTTCCTTAGGAGATGTTGCTAATGGAATCTGTATCCCACACATTACTGTATTCTGGTTTTCATTGTTTCTAAATTCATCACAAATCATTTTTTGTCTTCCAGGCAATCAGAGAGCTGCAATCGGAAAAATACCTTCAAAATATAGATGAGAAGGAAGCCCTCCTTTTAAAACACAATGACAAATCCCTCTATGTTTTTGATAACTTCAGTGGGCGTGCATTCCAGCACTTTAAAAAGGTTTGTACTGTATGTAGATACCACATGGATATTTTGCCTTTTTTGGCAAAATGAAAATATGTGCTACCAGGCTCATTCACGTGAGTGGAAAACAGTGCTGTAAATCCGTGGTGTCTGAAATGATAATTTACTCATTCTACTGACAAATGATCAATACATTTTTATTTTGAATTCTGCTAGTGATCTTAAGTAATTCTTTGTGTTAAAGATAATTCAGTCGTGGGCGGAATGTTTTGTTTTTACATTATTAATATGCAGTTTACATGGCAGAATATATATTTGTAGGAATCATGATTTCAAATCCTAGTGGAATAATAGTGTCAATTTTAAATGTACCAAACGACCAGAAACTGCTCCTGTGTGCTTCATGACATCCTTGAAGTTTCAATATTTAAGATGTCTGTCTGTAATGTAATACTATCTGCAATAGCATTGCAGAGTCCATATTCTTTATGTCTTATGGGGACTGACAGCAATTGGTTTGTATCCAATTGTATCTAAAAATATTCAATGTTTGCCATATAAAAAACATAAACATTCAGTGTAAATATTCAATTTAAATATATGTAAATATGCAATTAGTACTTATGGACAGTATGCCATTATAATATTTATTTTCATATAACAGTATTGATTTTCTGGTCTGTGTAAAAATGATGAGGTATTTTCATATGTTTTACAGTTTTAGCTCTGCAGGTGAGAGGTTTCTCTTGTAGAAATTATGAATTGAAATGTAAAGGTGTTCCCTATGTCTCCTGGTTTACATTGAACTCTCCTCCTCTCCGTGTAGCTGGGCTGCAGGATTGTCAGTCCCCTGGTGGTCCTCTTCTGCCTCAAGCATCAGCGCTGTGTGCCTAAAGCAGAACTCCCCGTGTACAACATGGCCATGGCTGACGTTACCATCACCTGTACCAGCCTGGACAAAGACACCAGGGTATGCGCGATTCACACTGCTGCCAGGTCTCTCCAGTGACCCAAACAAGCCATGTGCTTTTACACGCAACAGATTCAGACGCTGAAATTAAGGGTCAGCAACCGGCCATGAAAGCTCTGAATGCTTGTTAATGTCGCCTTTAACATTCATTAAAAATCACTGAAAATGGAAATGAGATTAATGCCCTTTTATAATTTTCCTTATGCATTTTGGAGTTCAAGCAACAGAATAGCACCTCATTCATTCTCTGTGACCTGATTTTTTTTTTTTTTTCTAACTGTTCCCATCTAATAGAGGGAGTAAGCTGTGTTGTATGTGAGTGCAAGTACAGTTGGTGTGAAGTGGGTGTGACACATTTTCCGAACATTCTTCTTTTCTAACTCGCCTTTGATTTTTCATTAGGGAGAAATAACTGAGCGGGTGCAGTTGATGGGGGGCCGGGTGTACAAGGATCTGAATGTGTCCGTCACCCATCTTATCGCTGGGGAGGTGGGCAGTAAGAAGTACCTGGTGGCCGCTAGCCTTGGGAAGCCCATCCTGCTGCCCTCCTGGGTGAGGGCATGCTGGGAGAAGTCCCAGGATAGGTATGCTGTAGTCATAAAATTCATTTACTGTTCTGGATGAGCAAGGTTCAGTAAGGAGTGCACCGTACTCAGTGAACCATCTGGTTCTTCTGTAATCGTCTTTAAAAAAATAGTTTTGGAATCCCAAAAAAAAACATATTCAATTTCCTGGGGAAGATCCATTTATCTGGTTAAGCTCATGAGATATCGCTGAGGTCCAAGTACCTGCTGCAAGCGATCCTGCTATGGTAACATCACGATTGGCGAAATGGCCTACTCTGTCTTGTAGCTGCTCTAACCTTTTTTGCATATCAAGTGGAAAACACCCACCTGGGTTTTGGAAAAAGGTGGCTCTCTGTGATGTTCAGTCTCATTTGGCAATGTCAGAGTACAGTATATGTTAGAGAGCAACATTTGGGGGTTGTTGCTCAACAGGCCCCAAATTCCAACTTCATAAGTCACCACATTTCATCTGTTTCTAGCGCGGATTGATATGGTGTGTATCTCTGCATCATCCGCTGACAAGTCACATCATTGTTGTATCTTCAAAGAAGTCGTTGTTTGGGGAAAATCTCCCTGTGTTTAACATGTGGCTTCTCTGCCAGTTTGAGCCTCACTGTTTGCTCTCTTTTGTTTAGGCTGTTTCATATTCTGTTGAGCACAAACCAGAGTACCTTGAAATAATACGAGAGTGAGAATTTATAAGAATTATAAGAATAAGCCACATCAGTGTCACCCTCTGAGGTTCATGTTGAATCCTGGCGATTGTTTGTAAAGTGTTTGAGCTTATGAACAAAGCACCATGATGGAGAATAAGGACTGACCTTAATATGTTTTTTTCCTCATTAGTTTGTTCAGGTACACCGATCTTTGCTCAGAGGAGTACATGTGTCCCGTCTTTCAAGGTTGTATTATCTGTGTGACTGGTCTAAGCAATCTGGACAGAAAGGAGGTTCAGAGACTCACTCTTCAGCATGGTGGACAGTACACAGGACAGCTGAAGATGAATGAATGTACCCACCTTATTGTCCAGGAGCCCAAAGGTATGTTCTTGGAGTCTGCTAGGCAGCACAGCACAATGATGTAGATATCTTGTTGAAGTCTGACATTCCACTGATGATAAAGGTATATTGTATAATATATATTAGAGGTGGTGAAATTTCCTAGATTCCTTTTGTGGGAGTAAAAGTTCAATGACATGTTAGTACCATAGACTTCAACTGAGCTGAGTGTAAGACACATTACAAGACGTAATTCCCTTTTCCTGAATACAGTACTGCAAATCTTATTTTCCGAAGACTGTTGCTGAAATTAGCACTTTGAGTTTTGTCTTAATAATAAAAATAACAATACAGGATACAGATGTATGCTTTCTGCATACATTTGTTCCTGTCATTATGCAGTACATATGCATACTTTTGTTTTATTTTTCTTTGACATTTCAAGAGTAATTATTTAACTAGCATTTCTCTGAAGAGATGTACATTAAAATCAGTAAAAGTTAATATTGCAGAATATAAGGAGTTATAATTATAATATCCTTATACATTTTTGTACAATAACATAAAAGGTGTAATAAGAGCATTAGAAAACAAAGTTGAGTGGTATTAACCATACCAAATTGGGTAATATGATAACTAAGCATTGTAATTTGACTACAAGGATTAATCGTAGGCTCTAAGGAAACTGTCTGAACTGAAGGGTCTTGAGAAGGTGCTGAAAGGTAGTTATTTCTTTGTCAGTGAATTTGCAGGCAGCATTATAGGAAATAAATGGTCTCTAGTAAGTAAAATGTACTAGACAGAGATGAAACATAGACGCTAAAGCAGTTTAAACAGACAGGTAGTTATTTAACTTTTCAGTTATTTGTTAGGAAACATTCTGGAAAATTATTAGTACATAAAAAAGGAAATAAAAATGAAAAAGTGCACTAGCATTGTATAGTTATTACTTTGGTTTATTAACCTACTAATAAGTACTGGCAGTTTGAATCTTTGCTTAGAAAATTAGGAGTGTTGTTTAATCCCCTAGCCATCGAAATTATTTTCTTGTTGTGTTTTTTTTGGTAATCGCGCAAGACACATGTTGCGTAGTTTCTTGGAGCAGCTGATTTTATTCCCCCCTGCAAGAGAGAGGAATCTCTCCCATTGTCTCCCCACCATTCTGCAGCCAGTGAAATGTGTTCTTCCTGTGTTGGTGCTCTGCAGGTCAGAAGTACGAGTGCGCTCGGAAGTGGAACGTGTCCTGTGTGTCTGTCCACTGGCTGTTTGACAGTATAGAGAAAGGGTTTTGCCAGGATGAGAACAAGTACAGGGTTCAGCCCGGTGGGAAGCAGACCAACTTGCCTAACACTTCAACACCCACAGACTGCAGGAAGAAGCAGGATGGTAAGGATGGCAAGATCTATTTTGATAGTACTTGTCTCTGTACTAGTCTCTCTCTCACTCTCCCCATCTGTGAATATTTTTGTAACTAGTCTTCAATTGCCAGGTATTGCGGTTGTGATGAATAACAGAAAGCATCTGAAGTTTATAGTTTAATGTTTGAATTATAAGGGTGTTGATGAAAGATGGTGTTCTTTTAACAATTAGGAATAATGTACAGAAAGTTCATTCGGAGGCAGCAAGGTGGCGCAGTGGTTAGCATTGTTGAGGTCCTGGGTTCAATTCTGGACCTGGAATGCTGTTTGTATGGTCTCCACGTGCTCGTGTGGGTCTCGTCTGGGTGCTTCGGTTTCTTCCAACAGCTCAAAGACACGCTGGCAGGTTAATTGGCTTCTGGGGAAAACTGGCCCTGGTAGTGAGTGTGTCACTATATCTGTGTGCCCTGTGATGGACTGGACTGTGATGACCATCCAGGGTGTATCCAGCCTTGCACCCGTTACTTGTTGGGATATGGATATATGTACTCCTGTATTGGATCAAGCGGGCGAAAAGTGGGTGGATGGATTTTAATTCAATGTGGTGATATATGAGAATTTTAATTTCATACAGAAAAAAAGGGATTTCTAGTCTCCAGAGACAAAATTCGAATTTAGGCATTTGTCCTGATAGTTCACATTTATCCACCCTTGAAATATACAACATTTTATGGAACAACTCAGTGCAGCATTAGAACTACAGAGAGATTTATTATCGAAGGTCCATGTTTCTTCAATATCTGTTTCACTTAATCAGACTTAGCTAAAATATTGTTACGACTCTTGTTCAGGTTGTGCTCTTTTGGGAGTGAGCCAAATCTCTCACATCAACACCAGCTCTGTGAACGACTCTGCTGTCACTACGGTCTCAGCCAGCCGCCTGGTGCCTGCTGAGGATTCCCTGGAATCGCTGGATATCAGCACCTTCCAGGCCCCTGATGACCTGCTGGATGGATGCAAAGTGAGTCCAGGGACTTTGTGCAAATAAAGCAGGAGCACTATTTTTTCTGCCAAAACTCTTGATAGGGTGATGGAAGATTTTTCAGACTTCAACCATTCATGAATCTGTCGTTGAACTTCTGACTTATCTGAGAAGATATTTATCTTGAATGTGCAGTCAGTTTTGACTGCCTTTTTCCAGCAAATTCGTCTGATTTCCTTTGTTTTCTGTACTTCTTTGTAAACTTCCAATTGTGTTATGGTTGCTTAAGTCCCATTAATACTAATATAACTGACAGCACGATTCATGCAGATGTTAGCTTTCTGTATTGGTGTGATTTTTATGGCACCCATCTAGTTTACTGGAGTCTTGGATGCTGTTATTTTAGCTGGTAGTTCAGCATGATCCACGCAGGAGAACCAGTTGTGTGAAAGTGTGTGATCGTTTCATCCTCAGATTTTCCTGTGTGGATTTGGCAGTAAGCAGTTGGAGAAGGTTAGGAGGCTCATCAACAGCGGTGGAGGACTGAGGTTCAACCAGCTCGGCGAGGAGCTCACTCACATCATCATGGGAGACGGGAACGAAGATGTCAAGCAGTTTCTAAGCAAGGCCTCCCACAGGTGCTCTTCATATTAGGAATTTAATGGTCTAATGTTGGGAATCATCTTCTTATTTTAAGCAGTTTAGGTGATTGGGAAGGAATTCGATCTGCTTTCAAAAGTTGGCATACAGTTAAAATCTCATGACTGTCAATCTCTTAATCATTTCAGTAGTAATAAAACTGTCAGATTATTTTTTTCATTTATCTGTAGCACTTATAATGTATAATGAAGTCAAATATAGCTTTAAGGAGTTAGAGTTAGAATGCACTAGTAATTATTTTGCATTAAGACCATTTTAAGAGCCTTGTCCTTCTTCCTCTCTACAGACCTCATGTAGTAACTGTGAAGTGGCTGTTGGAGAGCTTCTCCAGGTGCTGCCTGCTTCCAGTAGAGAATTATTTCCACGCAGATTACCTGCCCTGTGCCAGTGCAGACATGGAGCTGCCAGCCCCCAGGCCGCCTGTGCGTAAGATCAACACGAGCATAGCTCTGAGAGCAGACAGTTCTTCTGGGCAGCAGAAAGCAGAAGAGGACTTACTCTCCCAGTACCTCAATGAAGATCAGACAGTAGGTGAGGGATCCATCCATACATGTAGGTTTCAAGCCTGTGCTCGGGTCCATATATGTGTCAGTCTTAAAATATGTAGGTAGGAATACAAAAATCAGGTCATTTTTGGGAATGATGACCGTTGAATTTACTTACAGTAAGCTGGAAAGTGTTTCTTAGGGTGGGGACAAAAAAAACAGTGCTTTATCATGGCGCTAATAAGGACTATGTGTTAACCTTAGTGAGAGATTCCTTGCTTGCAAGTCTATGCAGACATGTTCTGCATCTGGGAGTCAGTGTTGGCAGTCTGGAGTCATAAAGGCAACAACCATGGTGTGATGTTTATATCCACCTTTAGCTCCATCATTTTCCCCAATGATAGTTGTGATTGTGTTTTTTATTTCTTCTGAGAAATGTCTATGAGAGGCGCAGCGGACTCTTGTCTACTGATCCCCTTGTTTTCAGTTGAAGCAGGGAACCATGATCAGTCCGGGAGGCAGGATGAAGACGAGCTGGAAGACAGGCCACCGAGCCGCTCTCAAACAGTTGGGGAGACCTCTACTGTAGTGGCGGAGGAAGGGGGCCTATTCTCTGGAAAGAGGTTCCTGATCCTTGGGTTTAGCACAGAAGATGAAGCGTACTTGACGTCCCTCATCAAGGAGCATGCTGGGAAAGTGCTGGGTGCCCGTAGCCGAGCCATCGCTGATTACGCTGTGGTGCCCATGATGGGCTGCGAGGTGGAGGTCACTGTTGGGGAAGTGGTCACCAACACCTGGCTGGTAAGAAAGCAATAAAGAAGGCTTTACTGAGGGATTCTCACACACAGAGGCAGTAGAAAGAGGTATTTAGTGACGTTTGTTTTATATCTGTGAGAATACGCGACTACTGTATGGTTGGTGAAGAAAATACAAACCTATTGCTTCCTAAAAAAAC